ACATGGAAAAACAACCCACTTTTCCAAATAATTATGAAAATCTATTCGGCAAAAGTCATGTTTTTAAAACAAACATGGTCAAAAATAATGAACAAGCCACTGTTCATGAATTCAAATTTTTTGACATTTTTCAAAATGTCAAAAAGTATGAATTTTCATGGTCACACTATACCATGACTTTTGTTGTTCGAAATCCATTTTGGATTTGTGGATCACACCAAAATATAATTCTGATGATGTGGCTAATAAAATTAACAAATTGTTCTCATGAGTTCGAAGCACTAAGAACAAGGGATGACCATTTAAAATGCATGAACTTGGCTACGAAAAGCCTATGCATTTAAATAAGTGGTTGAGAATGACTCATCTTTTCAAATTGATGGCCAGTTATTTGTATGTACACAATCAAAGCATCGAAGATACATTCGAAGCATCAAGAGTTGTTTCGAAGGTTGATTATTTCACCTTCGAAACTGTATAAAGCTTCGAAGATACATTTGAAGCGTCAAGCTTAACCTTGAAACTTCATTGTAAGTATCATCATCCTATATCAATGCTTCCAACCTTCGAGGGGTGATGTTGTTCCTTCAAAACTGTGCCGCAAGACCTTCGAACAATGAATTTGGGCTTTTATACCACATTCGAAGCTTGTTATTGATCATCTAATCATAATTTCATACTTATTCGAAGCATTTTATTAGTGCTATTATATCATTCGAAGCACTTTATTGGTGCTATTATATCATTTGAAACACTTTGTTGATATTATTTGAAGCATTTTATTGCTTAGATTAGTCATGTGCTTGGTTCAGCCCTTTAAAAATTCAAGTAAACATTATTTTTAAGGGCCGCGGGGGGTAATGTTAGCACCATAAATCTGTAATTTTTATTATTATTTATTATTTATATAATTGCAGGACATGTGGCACCCTCCTACTCATTTGGAGGTTATGAAAAGTTATGAAATGTGAAAAAGATGATGGAGAATAAAGTGGAGAACATGGAGCATGAATTGGAGATTAAAGGAAGTTATGAAGGCATGAAGAGATATGTAGCATTGTGGGAATAAAGATGGAAGGGTTGGTAGTTTTAGGTGGTTATTGGGTAGTTATTGTTGGAAGTTTTTTCCTACAAATATTTGCCTATAAATAGCCATTCATGGCTACATTGTAAGGGGTCAGAATTCAAATCAAAGACAATTGATTTCAATATTTCTTGTCATTTTCCTTATCTTAGGCATAGATTTATAATTCGAAGCATTTATTTTCAGCACTTTCTTTTCGAAGCATTTTATGCACTTCATTTTCGAAGCATAGGAGTAGAGGTAAGTAATGATTACTTTGATTGTTCACTCAATCGTCTTTCTCCTTCTCTCTCATTCTTCTTTTAATTTTTCTTTTCTCTACACTTGGCAATTTTGAAGTCCTCTTTGTTGAGGCAAAAGAACCGTTAACGCAATCGCTTGATAATTGGCTTGAATTTAATCTGTAAGGATTTTTCAATCCTTGCTGGCACGCTCGCAATTACAAAAATAACCTTCGAAAGTCAAAAAAACCAACAATACCATTAACTTTTTCAAAATTAGATCTCAATTGTATAAAAATATATATATATATATATATATATAATAAAAAAAAAAAACATGCGTAGAAAAAGTAATGTACCAATCAAGAAATAAATAATGTTAGGCAGATGAAGTCATGACTTGTATATAGTCTACCCTCTATTCCATTGACCGTTACCCAAAAAGCGAACAAAAAGAAAAATCCGTTACATTAACTACCTGCAGCTAAACATGACCACATTTGGTTTTTTACTCACTATGTCACACCTCCTTCTCCTCAAATCTCGTTTTAGCAAAAGAAACGCGATCACAATTGGTTTTTCACTCACACGTCACGCCTCCTCCTCAAATCTCGTTTTAGCAAAAGAAACGTGACCACAATTGGCTTTTTTATGTCACACCTCCTCCTCAAATCTCATTTTAGCAAAAAAAAAAAATGTCCCAAAATTCTAAACAATAAGCTCTAACCAATGAACTCCACCTACTGATGTGATAATTTGACCTTTTTTTTTTTTTACCAGCTCTATAAGTTTAGAGCTCTGAATCCCTATTGTTGACAAAAATACCCTATATTTATTTTAAGGGTCCAGCTTGTCTCAAGTTGAGATCAAAACTGGACCCGTCCAGTTCGGCCCATGGGGCTCATTTTTTGGGCCTGTTTTGATAATCCGAATCGTTCAATGTGTAGAATTCGTCGAGTACTACATGCCTGTAAAAAATCACGTTAATCAGATATCAATAACTATGTGATCAAATCAGTTTTGTATAAAAAAAAAAATAGACGGTGAAACAATTAACAATTGATAAAAAACTATTTTGTTCACATAGCTATTGATATCCGATCAACGTAATTTTTTACAGGCATATAATACTCGACGAGTTCTACACATTGAACGATTCAAATTATCAAAACGAGACCTATAGTGAGCCCCCACGGGCCCAACAGCACAGTCCAGTCCGATCTTGGACTGGACCAAAGCCACTGCCTTATTTTAAAACCAAACTTCATTCATACTTTTTTTTTTTTTTTTTTTTTTTTTTTTTTGAGAATTTCATTCTTACTCTTAAATCACTAAAGTAATGTTTAATTCTCAAAATGTTCATGTTTGATTCACCAAAAAATAATAATAATAATAATAATAATAAATAATGCATTACAAACAAAATTATCATTCACCATTACAAAGAAATAATCATTCCATAAGAAAATATAAAGAATGACCATTCCATCTCATTTCAATGAACTAGACTTTCGTTTAGAATGTGAATTGACTTTTTAACTTTTTGACTATTTTAGCCTAAGATTAAAAAAACCCGTTTAGGATAGGCATTTTAACTTTTTTAAGAAAAAAAAATGAAATAATTATGATTTGGATGTTACATTTTATCCTATTTGACTAAAATAACCAATTTTGTCCTATATAGCTATTTTAGCTCAAATAGGCATGCCGAACATAGCTTAAATAGAGCATAATTGCTTCTAAAACTTCAACAGTAAAGAAAAGATGTCAACTACCTATATCAAACTTTCTAACACCACCTTTCACATACAATTCCGTCTTGCAAACATTCATATTCATACATACAAAGAACAAAAGCAAATCAGAAAAGAAATAATGCAAAGACCAAACATTCACATTCATACATACAAAAAAGAACGAAAGCAAATGAGAGAAGAAATAAGGCAAAGTAAGACCAAATGCAAAGGAAAAACTCCAGCCTAAGATCTCACCAACATTGTCTAAAAAATTTAAGTGGTTTAAAAAAGGGACCAAGAATTTACGCTCTCCAACACCCTCCCTCATATATAATTTTGTCTTATCCATATCTATACATGTAGAGAAGAATGAATGCAAACGAGTGAAGAAATTATACAAACGGGGATTAAATGCAAAACAGTGAGACTTAAACTCAAAAACACCCCAGCCAGAGCTCTCATGTCATGTCAAGTCATCAGTTATTCTAAAAACTTAAACGGTTAGGTAAATGAGCCCAACAATATAGATAAGCTATCCAACAATACTCGATTCATATTTTCCAGCATCTGAAACAGCTAAAATTAGTCTAAACTATTGTCACTGATTCATATCAACATTTTTTTTCCTAATAAAAAAAAGAAAAAAATATATAAAAATTGTGTTAGAGCTAAGAAATAAAGAAATACGATTGGCACGTCCTGCATGCATTCAAGACTTTGGAGCGCATTCGACGACATGTGATTTGAACTTCTCGAGCTCAGCCAAAACATCCTCTTGAGGCCTGTAAATCAAATCGCTCATGCGCCATATCTGCAGAGAACATTATACATTTAGTACATCTATCTACCAGTTGAACTCTATGGCCATGTTTGATTTGCAGATAAGGGGGTGGGATTGGACTAAATAATCCCGAGATTAAATAATCCTGTATTTGAATTAAACTTTTTGACTCGGGATAAATACTCCCCAGCACAATTATTGTCCCTGATAACACTTTTGTTGCAAAAAATTTAAAATGCCCTCCTCAGGATAAATTATCATGCCTAATCATGTTTGTGAATCAAACATGGGCTAAATGTCAAGAAAAGGGAAGAGGAAGAAAACCCTGTTACCTGTAGTGTTCCACCTCCACCGTTGGTATCACAGTCATCAGATACGCTAACAACTGTCCATGGATCAGCTGCGTTCCAGTGGAAGTCAACAACTTTGTCTCTGGATGTACATCAAAGAAGTGAAACATTTTGGAGTTGAATAAGACTTCTAGCACAAAAGCATTCTACCAGCCAAAACCATGAACAAACTATACAATTATTTGATCAATAAATTGAACCATGCAAGAATAACAAATCCATGGTTGTTGGAATCGTACGATTCACAATTCGATGTAAGTTTCAACCAAAATAATTTGAATCGTGTTGTTGAATCGGCTATTGAGTGATTAGATACGAGTTTCAACAAAAATGATTCAAATCATGTTATTGAATTGGAAGTGTGATTCATTGTGATTTAGTTCGATTTTTGTTTTTGACATAATGCATGAAACGTCGTTTTTGCCACTTCACAAGATATAAAAAAGAGATCTTACTAAATTAGTATATTCCATCATTCCAAGTGTGTATTTATATATATATATATATAAAATAAAATGAATATTATGATTCACAATTTGATTCGATTAACGATTCACTATTTTAGCAAAACAATTCCCAATTTGATTTGATATGTGATAATAATGAACAAAACTACATAATGCATAGCATAATATGATGTGGGAGATTCCTTGTTAATAATAATAATAATAATAATAATAATAATAATAATAATAATAATAATAATAATAAAGATAAATTACAAATACACCTCCTAAAGTTTGCTTAAAGTACAAATTGCCTCTGTGGTTTGGAAAATTACAAGTACCCCCTTGTTAAAAAAATTTATTTAACAGAATTAACTAAAAAAGTAAAATTCATAATTGCTCTCCTATACAATAATAAAATTACCTAAATTGTTAATTGAAACATATTTCTAATATCATTAAAAACTGTTAATTGATTTGATGATTATTAATAAAAAGGATGATTTGTTGTGAAATTAGAAACCTCTGCAGGCGGAATGTAATTTTCAAAACTGCAGGAGACGATTTGTATTTTAATCAAACCTTAGGAGGTGTATTTGTAATTTACCCTAATAATAATAATAAATAAATAAATAAAATCACCACCACCACAAGAGATTGTAGCGAGCACATTCAAGCCCACACAATTAACCACATATTCAAGCCAATGCATATTATAAGTTGATTTTCATTTTATTATAAGCCCAACAGCACATACAAACATTCCATCTGATCTAGTTACGTTTTCAGTCTTCTTGGAGCTTCAAAACATAACAAATTGACTATCTCAACAAGAAATCAAATCGCTCATGCGCCATATCTGCAGAGAACATTATACATTTAGTACATCTATCTACCAGTTGAACTCTATGGCCATGTTTGATTTGCAGATAAGGGGGTGGGATTGGACTAAATAATCCCGAGATTAAATAATCCTGTATTTGAATTAAACTTTTTGACTCGGGATAAATACTCCCCAGCACAATTATTGTCCCTGATAACACTTTTGTTGCAAAAAATTTAAAATGCCCTCCTCAGGATAAATTATCATGCCTAATCATGTTTGTGAATCAAACATGGGCTAAATGTCAAGAAAAGGGAAGAGGAAGAAAACCCTGTTACCTGTAGTGTTCCACCTCCACCGTTGGTATCACAGTCATCAGATACGCTAACAACTGTCCATGGATCAGCTGCGTTCCAGTGGAAGTCAACAACTTTGTCTCTGGATGTACATCAAAGAAGTGAAACATTTTGGAGTTGAATAAGACTTCTAGCACAAAAGCATTCTACCAGCCAAAACCATGAACAAACTATACAATTATTTGATCAATAAATTGAACCATGCAAGAATAACAAATCCATGGTTGTTGGAATCGTACGATTCACAATTCGATGTAAGTTTCAACCAAAATAATTTGAATCGTGTTGTTGAATCGGCTATTGAGTGATTAGATACGAGTTTCAACAAAAATGATTCAAATCATGTTATTGAATTGGAAGTGTGATTCATTGTGATTTAGTTCGATTTTTGTTTTTGACATAATGCATGAAACGTCGTTTTTGCCACTTCACAAGATATAAAAAAGAGATCTTACTAAATTAGTATATTCCATCATTCCAAGTGTGTATTTATATATATATATATATAAAATAAAATGAATATTATGATTCACAATTTGATTCGATTAACGATTCACTATTTTAGCAAAACAATTCCCAATTTGATTTGATATGTGATAATAATGAACAAAACTACATAATGCATAGCATAATATGATGTGGGAGATTCCTTGTTAATAATAATAATAATAATAATAAAGGTAAATTACAAATACACCTCCTAAAGTTTGCTTAAAGTACAAATTGCCTCTGTGGTTTGGAAAATTACAAATACCCCCTTGTTAAAAAAATTTATTTAACAGAATTAACTAAAAAAATAAAATTCATAATTGTTATCCTATACAATAATAAAATTACCTAAATTGTTAATTGAAACATATTTCTAATATCATTAAAACTGTTAATTGATTTGATGATTATTAATAAAAAGGATGATTTGTTGTGAAATTAGAAACCTCCACGGGCGGAATGTAATTTTCAAAACTGCAGGGGACGATTTGTATTTTAATCAAACCTTAGGGGGTGTATTTGTAATTTACCCTAATAATAATAATAAATAAATAAATAAAATCACCACCACCACAAGAGATTGTAGCGAGCACATTCAAGCCCACACAATTAACCACATATTCAAGCCAATGCATATTATAAGTTGATTTTCGTTTTATTATAAGCCCAACAGCACATACAAACATTCCATCTGATCTAGTTACGTTTTCACTCTTCTTGGAGCTTCAAAACATAACAAATTGACTATCTCAACAAGATAAAAAAGAGCACGCACGAACACAAACAATGATCAACAGAAATTAGAGGTGGAATTAAGCCACCCATTTTCTGTTCCAAATTTTCCAGGTCAATGCCTCCTTTATGTTGTATATGTCACCAAATATATATATATATATATTTTAAAAAAAAAGAAGGAATCCATAGAAGTAATGATTTGTAGGCCACTCAAAATGAGCAACTCGTTAATTAGGAGCTACAAAGGAAAGTGGATGGCCAGGTCGTATTGCATCACCTACTAGCAACTAAGGTCTCTTGTACAGTGGAACAACCAAAAGATTTCAGAAAATTTAAATCCCAAATAGACCAGAGAAGGCTTTGTTTATTTTTGTTTGAAAAGGTAAGCAATTTCAAACCTGTGCCCAGCATGTCGGAAAAACAATCCTGGAGGAGAATTTGGTGCACTTGCTCCACCTTCCTTCTTTTTACCAACCTGCAAGGGGATTTAGGCAAAAGTAATTTTCTTACACAAAACAAGAAATGTAATCAGCCAGAAGACTTCATGAAATCAACAGTTGCAAAACAGCGAAAATCTACTTGCAAGTACGCTGTTCAATTATTGAAAAATTTGACATACACCACTTTTTTGGTACGGGTCATACTGTCGAGAAGTGTTTCATCTTCCGAGAAGTGTTTCATCTTCCAAACCCCCCCCCCCCCCCCCACACCCAAAAAAAAAAAAGTGCATAGAGATACGTACAAAAACAGTACACGTAGGCTCAGCCTTCAGATGGAGCAATTTTTGCATGCTGAGAATCAGTTTCTGAACATGAGGACACCCTTACCTCTACAGCTAGCTTTTGGGGTTGAGTTCTACCCAAGACCGTGTAACATAATATTAAAGCTGACATACTCAAGAATGGATACGGTGTGTGTCCCTGGCCTGCACAATGCGGCAGGTGCTGCTGAATGAGCACACTGCACGTGAGGGAGTGTGTGAAGCAAAGTCTCACATTGCTTGGGTATAAAAGCAATGTGAAGCATATAAGTGTGAGGTACCATCACCTCAGCAGCTAGTTTTTGGAATTAAGTTCTACCCAAGACCATGTAATAATACCCTCCCGGTATGCATTAACTTTGTCCTTCAGATGACACTCATATCAAACTCAATAAAATGCTCAGAGGCACAACACAAGAGGGGGGGACAGCAAAAACCCAGACGGATTCCTTATGTCAGTAGATGCTGAAAAAAAATGACATTCTGCCATATGAATCTGCAGAATACATCTTTGTTGCTAACAAACGACAACTTGAACAAGACATGGGCAATGACAATGACAATGACATGTAGTGTTTCAAAAAATACCCAAATCAAAGGATTATGGATGTGAAACTTCCTCAGAGAGAGAGAGAGAGAGAGGGAGAGAGAAGAAGAAGGAAGGGTAATAGTGAGGATAGAAGTATTTTCACACCTTCTCGTAATCCCAAATATTTAAGAAACCATCCTCCGCAGAACTCCCAAAGACGGATGACCTGTCCGGTGACCACTGTAATATGGATGGAAAGTTTAGGTAAAAAATGAATGAAAGACAGATGACTTTTCCAGACATAGCAGCACAGCATGCTCTATACATACCTTGCTGTGAATAGATATAAAATAAATAAAATGAACGAGAGGGGAAACTGGGTTACGACCTGCACACAGAGAACAGCAGCTTTGTGACCTTCAAACTTATGGACAGGTGATCCTACTCCACCAGAAGTTAGACTTCGGCGATCAAACATGCAAACAGATTGATCTGCAGACCTGAAATGACATCAAAGCAAAACAAAAGCACCTAAGATTATCACAAACCCAAATTTATACAGAAAATACACGCTAAACTTGAAAGTATGTCACATACCCCAGCTTTAATTCCATAATTCAGCTTATGTATAAAAAGTAAGAGGAATAAGAATATACCCAGTTAGAATTAGGTTTTCATCATGGGGGTTCCAGTCAACACAATGAAGATCAGCATTGTGAGCTTTTTCAACCTATTCACCACCAACAATATAATAGTAAGGTTAGATTCCCTAAAAGAGAGAGGGAGGGTTAATACAGGTGAGCATGGTTCAAAAAATCATAGAAAAAAGGAAAATGAACGATGATGTACTGGTAACAAAGATAGGTTGACATGAAAGTGGGAATGGTTATTTATGAGCAACTTTAGTCCACAATACAGCTTCGCGGCCAATAATTTTCAAATCATCATCAGGCAAGGTCAGCAAACAAGGGGGCAAAAAAGAACAATTAAAAACAGGAAACACAAAACGACACACATAATGTTTTCTGAGCTGCTGTAAAAATTAAAAATAAATAAATAATAATAAAAAAGAAGAGAAGAAGAAAAGAAAAGAATGGTTTCTGATCAATGGTACAATAATTCTGAAACCAAATAACTTGAATTCCAGACTAATCATTTTGCATCAAACTTAATGTAAGATTATGTATAAGGAGAAAAAAAATTGGTAATTAAAATCTTAACCAAAAAAGGAGACATATTAACCCTGTTCTGTTCATGAGTAAGGGAATAGTTGCAACCACAATTCCACGAGAATTATAATAACGATTAAAAGAAGACAATATATAATGCGTGCTCAAATTTGAGGACAGGGAAACAGCAACCCATAACAGAACTTAAATATATGGTACTTCCTAATTTAATTTCATTGACTGATTGAGACATTAGATGTCCATTGAGCACATATCCCTTCTTGTTCCAGCAATAGCAGCAAAATCCTAGAACAGTATTTGATAGATGGCTTAAAGCTTTTTGCTGAAGACACATGCAGTGTATTTTATGAATACATTTCTACAGCTGTATCTTGCAATTTTGACCTCAGTGTATTATACATTTTATGAATACAATGACGTTTTGCAAAAGCTACCACGCACTAAAAAAAGTGTTATGTTTCTGACCTTGACAACTGGGCTAGAGCCAATTCGTGCATCCCATAATATTAGGCAAGAATCATCGCCTACACTACAAAACTCCTGCACACTTCATCAAAGTTAGATAAAAGTCAGAAACAGAAGGCCCAAACAAAAACCTAAGAAACCAGCTAAAATACTAAAATGATTGCAGAAAAAAAAAATTAGGTGAATTGAGATTAACTTCTTGCTACCAAATGCGATATCAAGATGAAAAATGTCAATCATAGGATCTTCGAATAGAAATCAGGTCAAACACACACTCACATATATATATATATAGAGAGAGAGAGAGAGAGACAGACAGAGACAGATACAGAGACTAGATAACTGAAACAGTTGAACCAAGATCATGAAGTTACCTCGATGGACAAAACTGGACATCTTCAATTGTGTCTTCATGCCCCTGAAAGATCCCACGCGGCCCAATGGAAGGGTTATCGGTAGCTTTAATGATTGCCCCAGAAGATCCTGTAGGCCTGGTGGCTGCATCTGAGGTCAATGTTGATACATGATCTTGAATACTCCACAAAAGAACATATTTGTCCTTCCCTGCCACAAACATTTCTCACTTAGAACTAAATTTATTGATTCACTTAATTGGGGAGAAAAACAACAGCAGTCAATAACAGTAAACTACACAGACAATTCAAAATTTGAGAGAAGTTTTCCGATAATACAGCATCCTACTGAAACTTTTAAATGTCAAAACATAGTGTTATTGTATCAGAATCCCGTAATGTCTAACAGAAATATAGACATACTACAAAATGTAAAAATATAAACAAGATATTTTTTACGTTACAAACCGTATAAGAACAAAAGGCATACACAACCCAACCATGCAACTGCCTTTTTAATATACAAAGGAGTATCTTGAGTGATATTTCATTTAAACCAGAAAACAATTTGTACAAATGTTTGAGGAATGAAATAAAATATATATATATATATACAAAAATTTCAACTAGAAGTTATGAACCTCCAGAGAGCACTAAAGGCTCAGTAGGGCACATAGCAAGAGCAAATTCTGCATTCTCTTGATGTCCGGTCAATACCTGCAAAGGGAAAACTTCTACATTAATTTGATGCATTTTTTAGAAGAGATGCAGACTATTAAATTAATGGACAACAGATGCTCTCTTAAACATATCAAATTGGTCACCAATTGGGTATGCTTTGAGGCCAGCATAATTTATATAACAGCACACAGTCGAAAAAAACTTTCTAAACTTTGTTAATGTGGATCTAGAATAACTGAAAATATATCACATAAATTTTTATTACAGAAAGGTCAATGATTTGCAAAGCACTTATCCAAGACCAGTATTGAATGGGTATGCATTCAAAGGGCATGAGAGAGCAAGAGAAAGAGAGATTCCTAAATTCAATATGCAAGGCAAATGCAAAAATATCTTAATAAGAATACACTTCCAAATTGATTGACTTCTCTTTATTAGTGTTGTCAAAAAACAAAAAATTACAAATGTTATTCATCTAATAGTTCAAAATTTTTTGGTACCTGCAAATAGTTGGTGGCATAGTTAGGGGATCCCAACCATTGTACAAATTATATATTTCACAAGAAAGCACTAAAAAGGCTACTTCAGTTTTTCGCAGCAGTCAACCAACCCTTTCCCGGAGCCCAAAAATAAGAAAGACCATTTCTCTTGTATAAAGTGGAATATGTTGCAAAAAGAACAATAGTCACCGATTTGATTAGATGACAAAGTGAATGACATACACAACATAACCAATTCAAGACTGAAAGGAAACTAACTTGTTAATGACCAAAAATAAAAATTGTTATATGGGAAAGTGAAAAACATATGGTACTTAATGAATGCAAGACCATGAACACACAAACTGTTGTAGGCAAAACAGTACACACCAAATCTGGATGAGAATCAGCAGCTCCAAGGACAGCTTGACGGTTAGGTTGTGCTTCAACATCCCAAATGAGAACCTGACAGAAAAGTTAGCAAATTAGGCAAACTTTTTATTCCAACCAGTTAAACCAGATCACTACACAGCAAGCCTTTCAAAGAATACTTGCATAGAATGTATGAAACCTTAATCACTTACTTCAGGGCAGTCAGTATGGGTTGCTAATATATTTTTGTTCTGTGGAAGTTCCCTGATTCTGTTCACCTGCAATGGAATGTTCAGTGATTATGGAAAATGACATTAATCAATTTAATAATGAGATAAAAATTGCATGTAGAGTATCCTTTTCCATTTTTCATACACCAAACACAAATTATATCTTACACCTCACTTGCATCACAATAGGATCGACTCTCATAATAATAAATAAAGTAAAATATGGCAAATTATTTTGCTAGAATTATCGAATTCAGCATAAATGTCTAATAGCAAGTTGATTGGTTAAGTCAATAAGAAATGGGAGTTAACTGAATACAATTCAGTTGCTTACTTATTCAATAAGATATAATTGAACAATGTCACTTGGATCTTAGAAAATTGAAGGGCCTCAAGTTCTATGAATGGATGATGAACAAGCACATGTGTTAACATGGATGAAAAGGCACATCCAATACGCAGTCAGATTGTGTCAATTGTGGGGGGCAGCAGTTCAATGGCAGTGTTGATGACCCAGAGATTAGTTGGGAAATGAAACAGTGTTTTCAAAATTTATTTAAGTTACACAAATAAATAAATAAATAAATAGTGTTTATGTTTTGCCACCAAAAACGCAAAGAATATTTCATAATAGGGGTGTACGGAGAGTAAAATTTTAATAACAAACAGTGAGAGAATTTTCTTACTGAAACTGCATTAAACTCTCACAATGATTCGTGTCACACACAACACAAGCATGTCATGCACACAAATTTTTGTGATCAGTTTGCTTGTGCTTGGGTTTTTTTTGTATATGTGCATAGGTCATACCTCTCCAGGATGTATGATAGTTTTGTACTTCTTCACAAATGGTGAGCGTGCTTCTTCATTGAACTGAAAAAATAAGCAGTGCAACAGTAAGCAGGAACTACAGGTGAATAGTTCATGAACATAAAAACTAACAATTTCTTAAAAATAAAAAATAAAAAAAGAAACAAGACCTGTGCTATGTGCTCTGCAGCTGCAACCCTAGATTTGACAACTTCACAATTTGATATGACCAGAGTATTTGGAACACTGCCATCAGTCTGTCGCAATAGTCAGAGTGAGCCAAAGAGAGGGGGAAGGGGAAAAGGGGGAGAAGAGGCAGCCAAACTTGTAAAATGCAATGCATGTTACTGGAGATCTTTGGATTAACAAATAGAAAAGCTCATATATAAGACTTAGATATAGTAAAGAGCAACTCCACTCAAAAAAACCTTCTCCAACAGCCTGCTAAAAAGACTGCTAAAAAAATAGCGCCAAGCCTTGTGCCATAGGTTTGCCAATGCCATCTGTGCTAACTCAGGTCACCCAAGAGAGGATTTTGATCCAACAGTCCGGATGTAAGACATCCGGTGGACAAAAATAAACAACGGTCTACATTTGCACCAATGGAGAAACATTGTCAAATTTTGATATTTTGGCACTGCAGCATGCCAAATTATATGTTAAGCATTGTCATTTTGGCAATGACCAGTGGAGTTGAATAGTCATTCATAATGATCAGATGCCCTATTGCTACTAATATTATCAATGTCAAACTTCCCCAAATAAATAAATAAAGGTTAGAAAATGAAAGCAAATTCCATTCAATGATTCTTGCAGGCCAAAAGATCAATTACAATTAAATCCAATACTTCAGCTAGTGCTATTAGATTTACAACAACCTCACAACACATTATACACAAACTAAAAGAGTGAGATCAATAAATACAATAGCGGACAAACTCCAAAAAATAAATGAACCATAACAGCTACTAAAAAATAGCTTGCCTGCTCAGACAGGTAGAGACGTTGACAATTCCTGAATTTCCCTTGCTCGAGTTGTGGACCCCACCTACACTCACAAGTCACAAGAAAATTAAACCCATTACCCAAACAGCAAAATTTAGAACAAATCAACACAAACAAACCAAAAAATTCCATCACTCATCCACAAAATCATACCCAAAAACCTCTTCATTCTTTCATCATCAAAGAAACAGCAATAGAAAATGCCAATGAAATCACATAATGCACCTTTGTTTGGGAAGTGGGTTGGCTTTTGGCTATTTTAACCTGGGTTAAAAAGTCTCATTTGGGATGGATTTTTTGGCTTTTTCAACTTTTGAGAGAGAAATTGAAAATGACTATGGTTTGGAGGCTTTTTAGCCTATTTTGTCATTTTGTACCTATTTTAGCCCCAACCTATGATGTCAAACGAATGCATGTAGATACATGTGTATATAAATATACACTAAAAGTGTATGCAAACTCGTGTTGAGGAAATCACGGGTGAGAAGAGAGAGAGTTGTGGATGGTGGATACCAGTTATTGATTCAATGATTTTACTTTTTGATCCTTATAGTAACAGCTAGGCAACATAAACATTTGGGGAAAGGTTTAATTTCACTTTTATCTTTTAAACTGTCACCATTTATTTCATTTCATCCCTAAAGTATAAATTTTATCTATTTAATCCCTAATTTATTTATTTTTTAATTTCTGTTCATGTGGTCTAATTAAGACGATTGTACAACTCACTAACCATTGAAGCCTAATTTGATGGGCTCAAAGGTAATTTTATACTTTGGACAAATTAAACCATACAACCAATCACCCATTAAATTGGTTGTGGGGATGTAGTTTGTTCAAACTAGTACGAAAAATGCGTGTTTCGTCGTATTATTTAAGTTGTTCAAGTTCTTACCTACTTTTTTATTTCATCAAATTGAGCTTCTACAGTTACTGATTTGTGTAATCGTTTTCAATTGGACCACATGAACTGAAATCAGAACCTTAAGGAACTAAATACATGAAATTGATAGTTTAGGGGTAAAAAAAAATAAATAAATAACAAAATTTGGTGATAAAAGTTTGAAATTAGCCCTTTGGGAAAAGTGAAGAACTGTAGTAGGTTTTTCAGAAATCAAAATTGTGCATTGTTCATAGCGAGTTGTGTGCATTATATAATAGTATAAAAGTATATGTATCAACAAACTGAAAGCTGAAAACTGAAAGCTGACCTAGGGTATTTACAGACTGTAATTCCATTAAACTCCTACAATGAACCCAAAAAAAAAAATTATTTAAAAATCCTGATAGAGCACATTTCAAGCTAACAAACAGATTGGAAGCCCTAGAATGTGCAGCACACTAACACAAACCCCAAGCACACCAAACATATGCATATACATATATATATATATATATATATATACATATAAATGTAGAGAGAGAAAGAAATGTTACCGGCAGGAGAGAGAGGGCCAGACAAGGTTGTGATTGGCAAGCCAATCGTAGAGGACAGGGACGAGAGATTTCCACTGGCTATACTTATCATCAATGGGGGATTGTTGTTGTTGTTGAGGCTTCTTCTCGGCTTTCTCTCTCATCTTCTCTGCAACACTCTCTTCTCTTTCTCTCTCCTCCTTGGGCTTCTCTTTCCTCGGTCTGCCTCGCTTTCTCGGCACCGGTGATGGTGAAGGTGACTCCATTGCAGACCGAGTTAAACTCTCTCTCTCTCTCTCTCTCTCAAGCAGCACTCTGTTATTAGCAACCTAAACGATGAGTGAAGAGCGAAACTCGTTGAGTCGAAGCGGATCGGCGAGAGTCGGGATCATCTTCTGCGCTGATTTATATAGGGTTTGGATCGAGTGACATTTGGAAACTTGGACTATGCTGTGCTGTACTGTGCTGTGTTTGGCAAGACCCTAAAATTTTTGGGGCATTTCCCTAAATAAGTCAAAATACTAATTCAATTTTCAAACTAAGCCTAGTTTTAAAAAAATTCTTAAAATAGGCTAAAATGTGGTTCACAATCACGATTTCAATGGCGGTGCGCCTATCTCGCTTGAAGTTTGGAAAGTCTTAAAATCATGGTTACAAAATGCGTTTTTGATTAAGAAATCACGGTTACAAACCGCGCTTTTAGTTATATTTTTTTTTCTTCTGAAAGCGTGGTTGTGAACCACGCTTTCAGTACACAAATGATATTGTTGTTTGGCGTGCTATTAGACCAACTGATACATCAAGTAAGTCAACATTTATCAACAGTTGGTCCAATAAATTTATTTCATAAAAAATAAAATAAATTTCTAAAAAATAAATTTCTAAAAATAAAAATAAATTTCTAAAAATTTACGTTACCTTAGTGTTTAGGGATAAAATTTATTTTTTTTTATTTTACTAAAATAACAATAAATAAATTTTAAGAATTAAACTCTAAACCTTAAAATAAAAATAAAAAAACTATCCTTAAATACTAAGGTAGCGTTTAGTAACGTTTACGTTTTTTGTTTATATTTATAAAAATTTTATAAACTTGTTTTTATTTATTTTTAGAAAAACATAAATTACAAACGCGTTTGGTTTGAACAATAAAATAATTGAAAATTTTTAATTTAAAAAAAAATTAATTGAAAAAATAATTATTTGAAAAAAAATTTAATTGGGAAAAAAATATTTGAAAAAAATTTAATTGAAATAAAAGATTAATTTTAAAAAAAATTAATAGAAAAAAAAATTATTTGAAAAAAATTATTTGATCTTAATTTCAATTATTTGGTCTTATTTTTTTCAATTATTTGAAATTAAGACCAAATATTTTTTTTTCAATTGTTTTTTTTCAATTAAATTTTTTTTTCTATTAATTTTTTTTCCCAATTAAATTTTTTTCCCCCATTTTGTTCAAAGCAAACTCGTTTGTAATTTATGTTTTTCTAAAAATAAATAAAAACCAGTTTATAAAATTTTCATAAATATAAACAAAAAACGTAAACGTTACCAAACGCTACCTTAATATTTAGGGATAAATTTTATTTTTTTTATTTTAGGGTTTAGGGTTTAATTCTTAAAATTTATTTATTTTTATTTTAGTAAAATAAAAAAAATAAATTTTATCCCTAAACACTAAGGTAACGTAAATTTTTAGAAATTTATTTTTATTTTTGGAAATTTATTTTTTAGAAATTTATTTTATTTTTTATGAAATAAATTTATTGGACCAACTGTTGATGAGTGTTGACTTACTTGATGTATCAGTTGGTCTAATAGCACGCCAAACAGCAATATCATTTGTGTATTGAAAGCGTGGTTCACAACCACGCTTTCAGAAGAAAAAAAAATTGATAAAAAACGTGGTTCACAACCACGTTTTCAAAAGAAAAAAAATTTAAGTTAAAATCGTGGTTCACAACCACGCTTTCAGAAGAAAAAAATATATATAACTAAAAGCGCGGTTTGTAACCGTCATTTCTTAATCAAAAACGCGTTTTGTAACCACGATTTTAAGACTTCTCAAATTTCACGCGAGACAGGCACACAGACGTTGAAATCGTGGTTGTGAATCACGTTTTAGCCTATTTTGGGAATTCTTTCAAAACTAGGCTTAGTTTGGGAATTGAATTAGTATTTTGGCTTATTTAGGGAAATGCCCCAAATTTTTTACCAAAAAGTCTACCAAATGCTTACGCTGTGTTTGGTTGGAAATTTGGAAAGAGATTTAAAAAGGAAAAAAATAAATGTATATATGAAACTAAATAAAATATAAGTTATATTTTATTCACATTTCATTTATCTTTTCATTTTTCCTGTCTAAATCTCTTTCTAAATCTCTCAATCAAATACTGGGTTAAAGGTATTTAGAATGATCTAAATAAATATATTTGTTAACTTTTTATGAAAAAATATACAGAAATTAGAGAGATAATATTACCCAAATAAATAAATCTATCAAAATAAGTTTAGATTATACCAAACACCTCCTTATATAGGCGTGAGTTAAATCCTAAGTATTTTGATAGATTTAGGACTATTTTGGAAAGTTAGTTATAAGTTGATTTTTTTTAATTTTTTTTTCAAAAACGTATAAAAAATTAGAAATGTGATATCACCCAAAATAAATCAAAAATTAAAAATTAACTTTTAACTATTTTGTTGGCATCTTAGCATTTTTGGGTAAAAAAATAAAAAAAGATAGAAATACACGTGTTTAGTTGTTACCCAACAAAAAAAAAGTAAAATAATACAGTGGCATTTTGAAAAGTTGATAAAAAAATTGACTTTTAATTTTTTTAGCCAAAAAATCTTACTTTTTGGGTAATGACTTGAGTAAAAAAATTAATTTTTTTAACTAAAAAAACCAAAAGCTAGCTTGCCAAAGCAAGCCACGGTATAAATAAAAACGTTAACTTTTTTATGTTGAAAATCACAATCTGATTTTTTTTTTATATTTTTTGGATTTTTAAAAATTTAAATTATACATGTCATTTTGTGATTAGTCTAAAATTTAATTTACATAAATTAGGTTAATTTTTAAATCCTCTTAATCATATTAATGTTATTTCTTTAAATTTTATGATTTGAAATATGCAATAATATAACTACTATTTTTAGTTTCAATGGTTATATATGAAATCTATATCTACATCTATACTTCTATCTATACTATAGAAATAGAATAATGCTATATATACGAATTAGTATATTAACTGGTGTGTCAATTGATGATGTGACATAATTTAAGAGGTTTTTGATATTTATAATGTTATTAATGAGTGTGGTCAATAATAAAGTCATAACTCGTGTTGATACACTAGTTAGTACACTAATTAGTGCATGTAGCACCACTGATAAAAATATTTTGAGTCAATAAATTTAAAACTTCTAATAAAAAATACACGTGTCATAAATTCATTGATCATTTCAATTAATTATAATTATTGATATTTTTAATTGTTATGGTAATATATTTCAAATTTTATAATTATCATATGTCAAATTGTTAATGTATGATTCTTTTATGATATTAATATGAAAAATAAATCACAATTTTAAACTACAATAACAATGGAACACTACACCAAATTATTTATAGTATAATGGTAAACATGAATCTATGCAATACATATTAATCATGACCAACCAATGTTAATTTTTAAATTTTATTATGCAGAGTTCTATTTTTTTTTTTCTTTCAAATTTTACATTTACCTTTTTTTTAAAAAATTCCTTGAAACGTTTTTTTTTCTTAAAATTTTAAAAACTAAGAAATATATTTGGCATAAAACTATTCTTCATGTTTGGTTCCATTTTTCCAAACCCATTTTTTTGAAAATTTTGAAGTTTTTGTTTGGTTATTTTGAAAATGAGATAAAGTTTTCAGAATCTTGGTTTTGATGTGAAATTTTTTTTTTTAATTGGTCAATGTATCTAGCCTTCTCTATCAACTTTTGGAGGGAAATTTGAAATTACATAGTGCATTTTTTCAAAAACCAAACATATATCCATTTTCAAAGCAAAGTTTTAAACATAAATCTACGATTTTGTAAATAAATTTAAACATAAATGTACAATTTTGTAAATAAATTTAAAAATAAATTCACAATTTTTTTTGTAATGCCAATTTGTAAAAATTGGACATTTTCTGAAAATTTGTACATGAATTTACGTTTTCTAAAAATTTGTAAAAAATTACGTTTTCTACAAATTTGCAAATAAATTTATGTTTTCTGAACATTTGTATATAAATTTACGTTTTCCAAAAATTTGTAAATAAATTTGCAAAAATTATGATTTTTTTAAATGCGAATTTGTAAATAAATTTTTTGAATAACATTTATGAAAATTTAATTGTACGAAAGAATTTTTTTAATGTCAATTTGGAAAAAAAAAATTACGTTGTTTGTGGTTAAAATGAGTGAAAATTTTATGATAAAGTCACACATTAATAGTAGGATATGTATCCATAAATGGGTATATACCAAATTATGTTTTCATGCATATATAGCATGTGTGTGTATATATATATATATGTATATGTATATATAATTAAGATGAGAGTATTTTTTCATGTGACAATTTTTTTTTTATAAATTCTCTCTGTCCTTAAATTAGTGAGAAACTTGAAATTGCAATTATGCATTTTTTTCAAAACCAAACAATGATTCTTTTTCAAAATAGAGTTTTCAAATCACTTTTTGAAAAAAAAAATTCAAAAAAATGAAACCAAACATTGTGATTGGTACATCGAGCTATATATCTAATTTTAAATCTTTTAAATGGAAAGCTCAAAACAAAATCTTATTCATAATTAAGCCACAATGCCATTTGAGTTTTGAAATATTTAAAACTTAAAATATGAAATTTAGTAATGCGATGTTGATCATATTTGGTAGTATCTAATGTAACGTTATAAAGATAATAATTATAAGGCAAACTACTCAGTAGTGGTGTCAGCCAAAGTTAATTACAAATAAATGAAATGTATTATAAATATTAATAATTAAAAATATAAACTTTAACATGACTTTGTAATAATTTTTTTTATATATATTTTTTTGGTCCTCATTGACCAATGATTTCCCCATAATTATATATATCATGTGACGTCCATCAAATGATGTGAGATGTTACAATATGGTACCAAAATCTGATATTAAATATATGATCACATAATATTACTCATTTTAAAAATCTACATATAAAGTATGGAAACTATCCTTAAGGTAAACCATAATATACTTTATTATCTAATGTTATTTGTAATTGAATAACCTATGCTGTCACACCCCACTTTTTATTACCCGATTAACATTACCAAATCCATCATTATAGTCCATTTTCATTAATACAATATGGAAACAAAATTCACTGACATCTGTAAATATATAAAGGTTACCTCCATGATAT